ACTGTCTCAAAAAACAAAATACCCCAAAGAACACAGAAAAAAAAGAAAGAGAATAAAAAGATCATGGGACAGAAACCCCCTGTGGAAATAGGGCAGGATTGGAGGCTGAAAGAGCTGAGCTGGAGCCCTGGCTCCACTAGCCCTGGCCAGAGCTTCTGGAGTCCTTTCCTGGGGCCTCTCACTGGGCTCTGTGATGATCGGGAAACAGAGCCCCCCAGGAGGAATGGGGAGGGCAAGGGAGAAGGGAGAGAATGCCCGTCAGTTACCAGGGCTATAATCCCCCAGACCCCCTCCCTAGGGACAAAACCCCAATCTGCTGCATGCAGGGATCTGCCCGGGGCCCTCACCCAGGGTAGCCCTAATCTCAGACCATGCTCATTGCCGGCTGAGCTCAGAGTTAGGGGCCGGACTGGGGGGGAGTGTGGATCAAAGGCAGAGGAAATTAGCATCATAGTGAGCCCGGAGGGGGAGAGAGGCTGGGATTAATTCACTCTCCCCTTCCTGCTGTCCCTTCAAAGCCTAGAGAGCCCGCTTGGGTTGGGGGAAGGGTCACCTTCCATCCCTAAAGCCCTGCCACACACCTGAGGCCCAATTCTTATCGGAGGAGGTAGAGCGAGCGTAATGATTTGGGCAGGACTGCTGGGAACATCGGAGCCACCACGCAGGGCTTGTGAAGCCACTGGCTCAAATGACTCAGGCTGGCGACCGCCGGGCTGGTGTGACGTCTGCAGAAGCAGGAGCCTAGGTGCTGGCCCGTGGGGGTGCACTGGGAGCCCACAGTCCCTGAAGTATCACTTTGGGTACAGGGGAGCATGTGTGTGCATGCGCATGTGTGTGTGTGGGCAAGTGCGTGTGCGCACACACATGTGACTGCGGCACCGCCAGGGGTGAGGTGTGTCTATGACCGTGGGAGGTGTCATAGCAGCCCTGGTCACAGAAGGAGGGTTCTCCAAGGACTCCTTAGGGGTGCCTGGAGGGGACATGGCCATGCTGAAAGGAGGTCCAGGGTTCAGCCCAAGCTGTTCCTGCAGAAGCCATCATTGCTGGACATCCCTTGGCAGTGCTAGGAAAACAGGGAGTGGTGCGGAAGTCATGGGGGCCCGCTTGGCGTGCTTGGTGCTCACCGGCCGGAGCCCTCCACATATGCCCCGGGCTACTGTGAAGCCTCACCATGAGCACCTCATCTTGGATGAGGGAACTGAGGCTCCTCTCAGCCCCCTCCTACCTCCCTCTAAAGGGAGCACCCCACCCGGTCTCCTGCCCCAGGAGCATCAGACACAGTCCTCTCACAACCCCACTTCATCCCCTCTTCATGCCTGGTTAGGAAAAGCAAACCAAGGGTCAGAAGAACAGAGGGATATGACCCCCACAGCTGAATTCAGGAACCCAACGCTATGACATCCGAGTGGCTTACAGAGGGGCCAGAGAACAACAACCTGGCCCCAGAGCCGCCTAGTAGCTCTCAGCCTTTAGGAGTCTGCACTGGCTTCCAAAACCCCTGAACTGGTCCCCTCAACCCAGCCATTCCTGGGTCACAGACTGTCAACCAGCAAGCCCCTCCCCCGGGGCCCAGCCTCTGGTCTGTGCCACCCACCAGAGGGAGTGACCACGCCTGGCCTGACCCCAACGGCCCCCGTGTGCCCCGCCCACCTCAAAGCTTTGCTCGGGCTGCTCTCTGCCCTGCTCACCCTGCTCAAGTACTCATTTGTCAAGGCCCACCACAAATAGACTTCTCACAAATGTCCTCTCTGTCCCCTGCCCTCAAGGACCTGGAGACATTCTGCTCTTTGGTACAAACCACTTCACCTCTGAGGAGGTCTTAGAGGGCAGACCAGGAGCTTCACACATCTCCCCATCCCTACTCCTTGGGCAGGACAAGGAACAGGACTGCAAAGATGGCACCCCCTTTACCACTGCACAAGCTACCACGTGCCCTCAGAGCATGGCCACATGACATAGAACCCAACAATAAGGCTCTGAGCCGATTTTCTTGGATTCAAATCTCAGCTCTTCCACTTGGGCTCGCTATTTAACCTCTCTACACTGTCATTTAGCAGTGGAAATACTACCACAGCTCCATTTTTGCAAGGTGAAATGGGTTAGCCTACGTAAGTTATTAGAACAACACACTTTACATAGTGTTGGCATGTACTCTGGCCACTGTGAGTATTGCTATGGTTTTGACAGAAGACTACAAAGAGGTACTCTGTCCCCAAGAGCAGGGGAGTCCACACAGAAACAGTAAAGGAAGTTTAACATTTCTAGGGGCTGGGGATTTAGCTCAGCGACATAGCGCCTGCCTGGCAAGCATAAGGTCGTGAGTTTGATTCCCAGTACCGGAAGAAAAAAAAAATTCTAGTCATCTCAGGAAGGGTTACCAGCAGTTCCACTGCTGGTTTCACAGATAAGGAAACTGAGGCTCACAAAGGTGATGTGAGCAGTCCCACTTCACAGATAAGGAAACTGAGGCTCACAAAGGTGATGTGAGCAGTCCCACTTCACAGATAAGGAAACTGAGGCTCACAAAGGTGATGTGAGCTCCCTGAGTGCCTGCAGGGTTGGGATGCGGGGGGCCAGGTCATGCAGCTCCAAAGTCCAAGCTCTTTCAACAAGCCAGCGCTGCCTCTCTGTCTGGCAGGGAGATAAGGCGTGTACACAAATAGCTGTAATCCAAGGTAGAAAGTGATAAGTGCCAAAGCGAGCGATAAGCTCTGGGAGGCGGGGCCTGCAGCTGCAGGAAGGAAAGGGGTGCAGGTCAGGTCAGGCTTAGGGAGGGCTGGTGTCTGATTCCAGCCTGGAAGGTGCAGGCAGGGAAGGAGGGGGCTGGGAGCTGAGATTTGGTCCCTGTTGCCATAGTACCTATAGTGTCACCAAAGCCCATAAATACTTAGAAGGGGAAGAAGAGAGGAAAGGAGGTAGAAAGGCCAAGCAGGAGGGTGGGCCTGCCCTGTGTCTACCGGGCCCAGGACCATCCCCGTCACCACGAGAGCTCCGAAGGCCTTCAGAGGTCAGTCCTCCTTCAGGCCCAAGTGGACTGCCTGACCAATTGGGTGCTGCACTTGATACCAGCAAAAACTTTCCAGCAAGTAGAACCGGATGAGGCTTCTCTGTGGGCTGGGGCAGTGGTGGGTTGCAGCCTGCTTGGACCAGCTCCTAAGAGCTGACTCAAATTTTCAGGAAGTGTGAGCAAGTTGATGTTAGACTGGCAGCTTGAAATGGGCCGCGGTGGGAGTATTTACACGATGGAAATCAGCAAATACTACCAATCAGGTTCTCCCCCCTTTGGAGAGCCAGATGTTAAACATTTACCAGCACACCACTGCGCAGAGAGCGGTTTGCTGTGTGTGGGAGCCGTGAGTGCCCCATCTCCGGAAGTGTACAAACAATGACCATCAGTTTCCTAGAGCACTGAGGCACTGAGGCTACGGGGTTCTTGCTTAGTGAGGGGCTCAGCTCAGGGAACCTCAGAAGCCCCTTTCCGGCTCCAAGTGCCTAGGAAAAGTCGGGTTTAAGAACACACTAAATCAGGGTAATTATTCATGCCAGGAAATCATTAACTACTGGACCCAGAAGGTGGGAGTTGGGCAGGAACCCGAGAAAACATGTGAGGAGCCACTCGCTTGAGATTTCGCAGGTAGGAAACTTTGCCTGATGTCAACATGGCCAGCGAGGGGCAATACAGGGACCAGAGCCCCTATCTCCAGCCCCTCAGCCATGAGCTTTTTGAGGGCATACAGGCTGGATGCTGCCTACAGGGTGGGAAGTCCTTCCATACAAGGTCTGTTTCGGTGTCTGTCTCCTCCACCGACCACAGGTGCAGAGGAGCATGAACCAGATCTGCTTCTGCATAGTTGGACACCCAGGGCCAAGGTTTGTACCTGGCACACAGCTCGTGTTCAATAAATATTTGTTGATTGAATCAGTGTGTCCGAGATCCTGTCTTCTGGTAGCACGCAGGGGCTAGAAGTGTCATCTTCTGAGGCCATCAACACCTGCGTCCCCATTCCCATATGTGACATGGAATCCAGAGACCAGGGTTCAAATGCCAACTCTGCCCAGCACTCGTGTAAACTTACCTAGATCATCAGGCCTTTGGAAGGCCAGTTTGTTTCTCTACAAAGGGGGTTGTGCCATTTGCAAATCTGCATCCTCCCAAGGATGCTGCTGCGGCACTTCCATGTGACAAAAAACTTTTTTAAAAACAAAAACAGACTCTAAGGTACTGTGCCCACAGGAGGGAGGAGAGAGCTTGAAAAGCTGTCTCTGGTGGCCAGCCTGACCCCAGGGCTCCTGGTGGATACTGGCCAGTGGGCAGGATGTGGCTCCTGTAGGGCTGTTTGGAGAAATCTGGATCAGACCAGCTCATGTCCTAGGGATCTGGGATCCAGGGGTAGACAGAACTCCCAGAGGACAGGGAGGGGAGGATGCAATAAGATGGAATGGGAGCCAGGCATGGTGGCACAGGCCTGTAATCCCAGCTGTCAGGAGGCTGAAGCAGGAGGATCACTATGAGTTCAAATCTAGCGTGGGCTACACAGTGATATCAAGGCCAGGCTGAACTACAGAGTGAGACTCTCTCAAAAAAACTAAAACCAACCAAACAAAAAAAGATGGCTTAGGAGACTTTGGGAAACCCTTTCCTTCTAAGGCCAAAGGCAGAAAACAAACTGGGCAACTTTTAAACCACTTTTGTCTCTGGGTGACTTTTAAAGTACTGTATTTTCATCTCTGCAGAGCTGTTCATCAGGTCCACAGTCCCCACTGCGATGGACTTCATGTGTGAGAGAAAGGTTGGTGCCTAGCGGCAGGGTGGGACATCCACCTAGGCCCACCCCACAAGCAAAGCAAGGTCTCCCCTATGTTCCATGGGGAAGACACTTGTACAGCTTCCCCAGATAGGCACTGTAATCCTCCCCTGGTAGGGTGGGCACTAGGTTGGCAGGGAGGGAGCCCAGCTCACTCCAGGCAATGGTTGGGTAAGGAAGCAAAGCATGGCAGGGTGCTGGTGGCACCTGGATTTATCAAAGTTGGTGAGGTAGCAGGAGACTGGGCTCTGGGGCCATGGAGGCAGGTGGAGGGCGTCCACGGAGGGGCCACAGTGGGGAGCCGAACAGAAAGGGCCTGTGTCAGCAGCCAGGCCCCTGGGCAGCAGGCTCCCGCTCCATTCTCTTCCGCGGGATTCTGGTTGGCACCAGCTGTGGTTGTGAACAATGCCTGGATTTCTTTCTTTCTTCTTCTCTCTCTCTTCTTTTTTCTATTTTAATGGGTGGGGGGAGTCATTCATTGAACAGCTCAGCATCCTGGAGGCGTCTGGCATTGTGTCCTTGAAAAAAAAGCATTTGCAGGGGCCCCACAGCTGGTTACAAGGTATAGGAAGCCACACCAGACTGGGAGCCCTAGCTGCAGCCCCGCTGCTGCCCAGTGACCATGGGCAGGTCTGTGCCCCACTCTGATCTGTTTCCCCACAGCCTCCACAACAGCTTGTCTTCCAGGCCCCACACGATGTTGGCGCTTTACTTTCCTTGCTCTTACAGTGGCATTTGATGGGGACAGTCCTTCCTGGGGCCTTGGGAGTCCATCTTGTGTGCCCCTGTGCCTTCTACCGCACTTTACTGCCTGCCAGCCCCTCGGGTGCTGTACTGATGACAGGACGGAGCAGCGGGCCACCCTGTACCCTGCAGCCTATGCTAAGGTACCACACTGGGCAAATGAAACGCCCCATGCCTCAGTTTCCTTAGCTGTAAAATGGAACGGTTAATACTAACCTACAGCTCAGATGAGGATCACAGGAGCTCAAACAGTTGAGCTACTCAGGGCCTGGCACATGTTAAGAATTTAACAAGCTTTTGCATGGTAGCTAAGCAGCAGGCAAAGCCAGTAGCACCCAGAATAGAGAGGAGGCCAGCAGTACGTCTGGCCAAGACACCAAGACAGGCTCCCAGGTAGGCAGCTGTGGCTGTGGCCTTGAAGACTGGGAGAGGTGTGTCCCAGGAGGAAGGAAAGAATGAGCACAGAATGCTAGCTAGCAATTCTGGAAGCCACCCAGCATGGTGAAAGGACAAGGTCAGGGCAAGGGAGCACTAGCCCTGAGGCCAGCAGCCTGAAGGTCGGCGCAATGTCGAGAGGCAGGAGGTGCAGTCTTCCACTTGCTGTCCCAGCCTGCTGCACCCCGGTGCTCTGTGCATGGCTCCCAGGGCCAGAGGAAAGGGTCCTGCAGGAGGATAAGGGGTTCTCAGGCACTGCTGGCACTGCCCAGCTACATGGCTCTGGGGAAGCCACCACCTCCCTTTAGGACTGTTTAGTCACCCATAAAAGTGCTATTGTGTGGCTCAGAGGATGAGAATTGCTCTATGAGCAAGGGTGAGAGTTGCTACTTCTTCAGCCCTAGATGTCTCCTGTCCTGGGCAGCTCCTTGCTGTACCTATCAGTTTCCTGCCCCTACCCCACTGAAGGCGCCCCTGTGAGTGTGCTTCTTGAAGCAGTGCCCCAGAAACCTAAAGTGGACTACAGGTCAACCCAAGGGTGAAAGGCTCACAGGACGATCAGAGGCCAAAGTGCCACTGGACAGTTCACTCTTCACCCTAGGTACTCAAGCTTTTGAACCTGGTAGAGGGGGAAACGGAAGCACAGGGAGGCTGTGATGTGCTCATGCCATATGCAGGTAGGCATGGTGGGGTGGGTACCCAGCTGTGCCCACGCTGAAGCAGATCTGTCTACTCTCAGGGTCTCCCTGGGGGTGGAGGTGGGGGACTGAACTGGATGTGGAACCAGGAGCAAGGAGAGCAGAGCTCCATGGTGGAGAGTGAGACACTGGCCCAGGAGAAGGGTCCTGGAGAGTCAAGGCCAGGTGCTGGACTCAGAGAAGGGAGGGGAAATCCTATTGGAACAACACAAAGAGGCAGAGCTGAGAGTCCAACAAGCAAGGACATTGTACCTCTCTGCTGTACTTGACCATCCACCTGTGGGAGGCTCAGGCGCAAAGCTACGCAGCGCCCAGTGCTTCCTGGATCCACCAAGGGGTGAATGCTAAATGCATTCTCTGTCATATCACAGCCATAGGAAGGACCCTCAACTTCCCTTGCACATGGGTGATGGTCTTTACCCCAAAGAACCTGCAGGCCACCTCATTCTTACCATAGATGGCAATAAGATGAGGGCAAAACACCATTTTCTACCCCCAGGAACAGCCAGACCGTAAGCCCAACCCTTGTGTCACCCACCTAACAGCTGAGATCACCAGCAGGTCACAGAGCCTCTGAGGACCTTCCTGCGGCCGCAGTGACACCTGGCTTGTGACACGGATGGAAGAAGGTTTCCCTAGTGCCTGGCACACAGTCAGCTCTCCACACATGTGATTTTCCTTCCACCTCCCCAGGACCAATCCAAATGTCCCTGGCTCCCATCAGGGGTTAGGGGTGGGAGTTCGGACAGAGAAGGCAGTCACTGGGACAAGAAAACAGCCCCACACGCACCTGTCCCCATCTCCCAGACTGCAAAGGGCCTCCTGGACCAGCTGGCCATACTCACTGTACTCTGCACATGTCCTGTGTGCCCAGGGGCCTGAAGCCTTTCACTACCTGAGCCTGTGACTTCAGCCTTCTGAGATCTGGGTCCTGCTCTCAGCCATGGCCTCTTTGTTCTGATGATGGTTTCCAGGGAGGGGAAATGAATAGCATCCCAGTCTGTGGGGCAAGCCAAGACCCTGTATGAGCACCTGAGGGCTGTGCCATGCAGCCTGCACCCCCATAATGGGTCCTGAAGCTGCCTCTGGATCCAGGTGATGCCTGGCCAGCCCTGGCAAAACAAGGATAATCTTCCAGGTCCCAGGGCTGGGACTATGGCACTTTCATCTCTGCCTCACTTCAGACTTCCTGGACCAGACAGGCTGAGGTGGAGAGACTGCGGTCTCAAGATACATAGGCCTCACGAAGACATCACTGGCAGGGAACCTTGCCCTTAAGCTAACAAGGCCCAGAGAGGGAAACCCAGTTGTTTGGGCCATGCGTAGAGTCCATCAGTGTAGATGAGGAGCTAGGCTGCAGCCAGCAGGAAAATGGTACCAAGGACTTGAGTTTGCATCTGGATCCAGTATGGACTTGTAATATACACAACTCCAGTTCCTTAAACTACTACCCAGGATCCTCGCCCCACTGTCCTCAGCACACAGTAGGCACTGAATAGGTCACAGCATCATCCAAGACCTCCGAGTGATCTGACCTGCCCTCTGGTAAGATCTGATCTTTCCCCTGGAAGATGTCAGAGATGGCCAGGTCCTCCAAGAGCAAGGAGTGGGGCTCCAGTCCCCAAGAAGCCTGGGTGGGGTTTCTCAGACTTGCTGCTCTAAGTGCCCTGCTTGCACATCTAGGGAGGGCTGGCCTTACCCCAGGTTGTGGGCTGCTAAGGCCTGGTTCTGCTTGGCTCCTCTGTGGCCACTTCCTCATTCCCCAGGTATAAATACTGGCTGGAAGCTTCTGGATAGGAGCTTCTGAACATGAGTGATCACCCTGAGGTCATCCGAATTCCCCCACTTCCTGGAGATGGTCAGCCCAGGATATTCACTGAGGGATTTGGACAGAAAGCCGAGAGGGCCCAGTGTCCTGACCTGGTACCATCAAGGCAATAGGAACTGGCCCAGTTTCTGGCTGGGGCTGGTTTCGTGCATCCAAAGTCCTTAAATGCTTGGAAACTCCACTGCGGGATTTTAGACCTGGGGGTGGCGTGGCTTTCTGCTCACTGCAATGCTGGAAGAGGCTGGGGTTGGGAGAGCTGTAGGTCTAGCGACCAGGCAGCAAGCTGAATTCCCACCTTACAAGTTAGGGCTTCAAGGCTTTCTCAGGCTGCCCTCCAGCCACCTGTGAACTTGGGCCACCCACAGGCTGAGAAGCAGGGACTCCCTCCCACAGGAATTTACTGGGACTGTGCCTCCGGGTGTCCCCAGAGGTCAGGAAGTGATTGCATACCACCCACTCTCCCCAGAGATACTCAGCTGCCACCTGTGGGTGGGTGGGGGAGCCACGGCGGTAACAGTCCATTCCGTGCGTGACAGATCAGAAGGCCAAGGAGGCTGGAAAGGAGCACCTTCCCTAGCGCCCAGTGGCAGGAGAAGGCAGGGTTTCCACTGGGAAAATCAAACAGGTTCCGCACACGCACACAGACACATCACGTCCCTGGGGCCCCGAGCTGCAGGCTCCGAGCCCTCAGGAATTCCAGGCTGAGTTCACTGGCTGTCAGACTACCAGAGCCTTGGGAATGAATTCACGTTGCCTCCTCTCTCCCGGCGATGGAAGGAGTGATCTCTCCAGCCCTGAAGGAGTTCAAGCCGAGGTCAGAGCGGCCCTCTGAAGGATGTTCTAAAATAGGGGTCTGTGCTGGCGGGAGGACGCCAGCCTTCCACTCCCCCACCCCCTCCGCCGGGTCCAGGAGCACTCGGATCGCCGCCCACGAGGCCCCGGCAGCCCGCGAGTCTGCGTGGCACGTCGGCGCTCCCATGCGGACCTCGTCAATCAGGCAGCGGCTAGGACTTCTTCCGCCCGCCGGGCCCCGGGGGAGACTCCCGCCCGTGCCGCCTCCCCGTGCCCGCCCCCAGCGGTGTCATTGTTCTCTGACGTCACGCTGCGGCCCCGCCTCTCGCCCCCCACCTTTCCTCCCCACCTCCGGCTCCCGGCGCCCGCGACCCTGCAGCCTCCGACGCCCTGGCGGTGCAGGGCTCCCCCCGCGGCCCGGCCGGGGCTGCGCCCCCTTGCGCTCTCCCCAACTTGCCTTTGTTATTCCAGCTCCCTTCCTCGCCTCGCCTCCGACACCGCGGCGGCCTGCAAAACGCGGAGCTCGGACCTGCTTCTACACCTGGATGGTGAAGCGGGCTTCAGGCCCAACCTTCCCCGCCTGTCCGCCCGGGAGGGGAGCGCGTGCGTGCGCGCGTGTGTGTGTCCAACCCAAGCGCTGATTATGCTGGGAAATGAAAGTGCCGCCCATCAAGGGTGGGGTGCCCCGAGAAAGGGGTGTGGAAGAGGAGGTGTATGGGGGGTGCGAGTGTGTGTGTACGTGAACGCAAGATTTCGAGAACAGGGAGTGTTTTGGTTTTTGGGTGTACGTGGAGTTGTGTGCAGCGATGTTTGCATGCGTGTGTGTACAGCTGCGTGTCTGAGTGCTCACTCTGACAGTGTGCGCGGGCGTGTTGTGAGGGAAAGTGTGTGTGCGAGCGCATTTGTGTGCGGGGAGTATCATGTTTGCAGAGCTGAGGGTGGGCGCGAATATGTGTGCCGTGTGTGTAGGAGTTCTGTGCGTGTGACGACGTGAGCCAGAGTGGGCGCGCACTAGGACTCTGGGGGGCGGGCTGCGAGGGGAACCCCGCGAGTGGGCGCGCCCAGCTGCGACTCGGGACTGCCTCCGCTCCTTGCCTCCCCTACAGCCGTGCCCAAGCCTGGGTGGAGGTAGGGGCCGGGTCTGCCGCCCCCACCTCGCCGGCGCGCACGGCGCCCCAGGCGCTGCCCGAGAAGCCTCGAACACCCACGCGTCTGGGGCCGACTCGGGTGTCCAGAGTCGCGGTGCGCGTCGCACCCAGCTCCATCCAGCCGTCGAGAGGAGCGCACGCTGGCCTCTTGTCGCCCTCAGCTGTGATCCTCTTCCCACCCCCCAAGCTCCGGAGGTTAGGAACTAACCCAAAGTCTCCTCCAGGGAAGGCTTTGGAGATCTTGTTAGCATCTCACCCATCCCAGTTCAGGTACCAGACAGCGCCGGCGGCCCGGGGTGCACATCAGGCGGGGGCGTGCAAGTGCGCCCGCAGGGATGGGTTGCGCCCGGCAAGCGGGTGCATTTGATGTTCTCCCCAAAGTGATCCCTTCCTAGGTTCAAAATTTCTCTTCTCCAAACTTACTGGGGCGGGGGCGTGGGGGGCGTGCGCCAGCTGAGGCTCAGGGAAGAGAACTAGGGGGGGTCGAGTGGACGAGCTGCGTGGGGGGGTGACGCGGAGCCGTCAGTGCCAAGTGAGGAAAAGCTTGTGGAGCGCTGAGCCAAGGGAGTAAGGAAGAAAGCGAGGAAAGATCGGGAGAGGCGGAAAGAAAGAGCGCGGCGAGAGCGCAGAGAGAGTGAGGAGAGCGCTGGCGGCGGCTCGGCGCTCCGTTCCGGCTGTGCTCCGCGCCGGCTTTTGCGTGCGGCCGGCGGCGCGGGGCCCTTTGGAAATAGAATAGCCAATGTAATCTGACACTTCAACTTGCTCGGCTCCGGGCGAGTTGATTCACTTACTCACCCCCTAACGCCGAGTTCCTTTTCACTGTCTGTGGACATTAAAAAAGCGAGCGGCGGCGGCGGGCGCCCGGGAGAGCC